GGATTTGTGGAGTGAAGAGGGGAGAAAAATTTAGGGGGACCCAGGCTGTGAGGATGACACCTGTGGACATAGACCACTCTGCCCCTCTTAATTACCTATGACAATAACACAGCCCGCCTGCCTAGCAGTTGTAGAATGCCATGTCTCTGCCCAAACAGTGCAAACTGTCAGACAAAGCACAGTCAGACTATAATGCCACACAGATGGGACATCAGACTGGTGGAAAGCCCTTCTATGTACTATTGGCTGGCCTTCATCCATCACGGATGAAGCGGGATAGTAGGTGTCCACTCTGACCCGCCTGAGCACAATTGTCCACCTTCAGGTGACTGGGATGGCGACTCTCTGACCTAAGCCCAAGGGCCCCCTCAGCACTAGACTCCCCCTCTGCACTCCTATCCCCTTCTTCAAGTTCCAGCTCTTTCCTAAAACTGGCGGTGTGGCATTGGGGTGCCCCTGGGGCCTCAGTTTCCCCACTGTCACCAAAAGATCTGACTTATTCAATGACCTCTGATGAGTCACCTTTTCCTCACCTCTGGAAAGGCTACTGCCTCTGCCCACTGTGTTAGAGATGGAGCTGCCTGCGGTCAGCTACTGGTCTCGACCGAACCTTGTTCCCTGCCTCTCCCAGCCCACCTCCCAAGCTTGGATGATTTCCTCTGGTACCTGGAGCCATCTGCTATGAAAGGAAGCACCCTGGCTGAGAGAGACAGACAGAGAGAGAGAGAGACAGAGAGAGAAGCCAGAAGATGGCCAAGAGGAGAGAGGGCAGGGCACTAGGCCCAGGTTGCAGCAGTTTGTCCTGCAGCAGAATGGATTCCCTGGACTTGAAGGCAGTGGGATAATCGCACACAGCCTCCCTTCAAAAGCACTCTGGGATCAAGGGTGAGTGCCCTATCCCCAGAGGCATGCAGGCCACGTGGTACTACTGTGGATGCTGTAGCCTCAGCAAGGGGTTGGGCCCTGTCTTCCCCCAGCTCCTCTGATGCTAAGAATTTCCTGGGCCACTTGTTAAAGCCACAGCTTCCCTGGCTGGCCTCTCCCCAGAGAACTGAATCTGTGGGCCTGGAATGCAGCCCAGAAATTTAAAATTTTAACAAGTACTCCCAGGTGATTCTTGGTATCTGGAAAATTTGGAAGAGCACTAGCTCTTCGGCCCAGAGACTCAGAGGCCCCTGTCCTCACCCCATCTGGAAGTCACGAGCCCCGGTATCAGCCTAAGTGCACAGCGTCATGAAGATAAAAATGATGGAAAAGCTTTAGAGAGGGGTAAAGATGTGGGGAGCAGGGAGGTGGGTCTGCGCTTGTGGTGGAATTGGTGTCAGCTCCTTCCTGCCCCCCTGGGACCTCCAGACCCATCCAGAAAAGCTCAGCAATGGCAGGGGGGCAAGCTGACAGCTGTTCTGCTGCTGCTCAGTGAGACCCGGAGAAGCAATTATCTTGCTCTTAGCAGAGAGGCTCTGGCTCTTACCTGCCCTTTGCTTCCCTCCTTCCTCCTCCCTCGCTCACCTTCATGCATGCACATGCATGTGTGGAGACACACACACACACACCACCACCACCCCACCAACACCCCCAAGATGGTGCTGGCTGGCTCTGAAGCCACCTCCCCCACGCCAGCCTCCCGACCTCTCAGAATCACTCAGCCTCCATCCTCAGAGGCACATTTCCAACAGTTAAATCATTTAGCCCGATAAACCGGAGATGGCAAAATGGGTGCTATTTCTTAAAACATACAGAGAGCGTATTAAATTATTGATAGCCATTAAACAGGGGGGGGAATTAAACAGCTCTCCATTCTTATCAATCATTCATGCAGTTTCCACTGGGGTGTTTTCTGGAGAGTGATCACACAGGCAGCCCAGGGAGCCGACTACTGCTGAAGAAGGCAGGCAGGCAGGCAGGCAGCCCTGGGGCTGGGTGGGAAGCAGAAGGGGGACGGGGGCTACTGACGCCTTCACAGAATCCCCTGCAGCAGGCAGCAAGTAGGGGAGAGGTCGGCCTCCGTACGTCCCCTTCCCACACCTTGATGACAAAGGGACACTCCTTCAGGAGTCCTCCTTCTGAAGCATCTCTGTCATTTATTGAGTGTGTACTATGTGCACCACACAGATTCAAGGCACTCACTCAGGCTAGCGGGGAGGAAAACAAGATCATTTACCACCACAGTATGAGCCAGGATGCCTGTCAAGAGGGCGGTTGGTCCCAGGAGAAGGGGACTCCCTAGCCGGAGGAGGGGGTGCTATGGGGAAAGACTTCCCTGAGGAAGCAAGCTCTTGGATGGAGAGCAAAGAGTCACTTAGAGGACACGCTGATTTGGGAAG